ACATTTCAAAATACACATAAGAAAGTTATAAAACAATCAAAAAAATATTCGGAGATTCAGAAAGCACACTCCGAAGAGCTTGGAAATCTCTTTAGGGGATTTGCCTATTTGATTTATATACACCAATTCTTATAGGACTCCTGAATGTTTTCTTCTTACTAGAGGCGAATCCATCTCGTGGCGAGGCTGTATATGAAAATGACAGATCTTGCTCGGTTTCTGTTGCCAATCTGCCGTCAAGTTATGTTAGTAGACTCTGTTCGGTTTCTGTTACCAATTTGCTGGCATAGCATGTCATCAAGCTTTGTCATATTTTTGACAGCAGTTTGTTGACATTGTCTGATAGTACAAACTCTGTATACGATTTGCTGCCTTTCTGCAATCAGAAATTGGTAGCAGACTCTGCTCAAAATCTGTCTCTTCAGATTTAGCTATCTGGATATATTATTGTTATTATTATTATTATTATTGTTGTTGTTGTTGTTATTATAGATATTATTGTTATACTTTATTTTATTTTTACGAAAAAAAATATCCATATGTTCTAATTGTATATTAGAAGGCCATATTTTAGCGTCCATATACATTTACAGCGATATAAGCCACAACACGAGCGAAGTGTTATTAGAGGTATTCGATCATGTCAACAAAAGTCAAAGATTCTTGGGGCTAGGAATCGTAGGCGTCGAGGAACTTGTCATGAATCCGAGTCAACGGCAAATTATACCTCTTCAGGCACGGCCATACGAGCAAGATGACATTACAGGCACTCTCACGGTGGAGGTAACTCTGATTAACGCGTTTTGATTAATTTTTATTCTACATGATATCAAACGCGACGCGATATACATTCCCGTAATAAAATACTTCTCTTGGAAATTATTTCAATAAGTTCTGAAAAGATCTTTTTTTTTCTGTCAAATGTTCATGCTCATTAAATTGCCATGAATAACTTGAGATATTCCAAATATCTTTAAAGAAATTTGACTTTTAATATATAGTTTATAATTTACCACTGATTTCTTGCTTTCGTGCTGTTATATATTCTGCAGTTTCTGTTCATCGAGGGTGCGGAGGTACCACAAATTGGGACCAAGCCTTATAAGGTCAAGGAAACGATAAAGCCAGTCTCGCCGAGCCGATCCTACAGTCAAAATGTCATCAGCAGCAATAGTCTGAACTACAACAATGGTAACAGTACACTTATCTTGTACGACTCTGCCGCACAGTCGGAAGGGGGTAATTACCGATTACTTATCAAGCGTTGATGTGTGTGTATATTAATTCGATTGATTTTTCTTTCTTTTTATTAGTATATTAGTGACTTATTGATCTGTCCTCATAAAAAAGGCAACCTAATGTTTCTCGTGATTAGAATCGGTTTGTGAACTCCCCTACAGTATGTAACGCATTTGTTTAAATTATACATCATTCATCGCACGTCGATACCATTTCTCCAATTCGTTTCTTTGATTCGAACATAATTGGCATAAGATTAATTAGTATACAAAGCATCATCCGAATCAACTATTAAAAAAATTATTTATTTGTATAAGTTCTTTAAATATACATATAGACATACAGAGAGTCTAAAGTTTTATATATACGTACTTATATTGTTTTAGTTTGTCCATATTATTTTTCAAGTTTTCAGTTGCTTACATTTCTACAACAATAATATCTAATTTTTATTAAGAAAGATTAATTAAAGCTTAAAAATTGATAAATTGTTGAACAAATTGATAAGTACGATGCAGAGAGAGGAGTTTGGAGCATTCTGTACAAGTCAGATTGTGATGAAAATGTTAGTTTAAAAATCAACGCTTTTATAGAAAGAGAGAGAGAGAGAGAGAGAGAGAGAGGGAGAGAGAGAGAGAGAGAGAGAGAGAGAGAGAGA